TGGTTTGGGGTTGTTTTTTTAGTTCATAAATAACTATCTATCCATCCATCCATCCATCTATCTATCCATCCATCCATCCCTCCATCCATCCATCCATCCCTGTCTACATCCAGGAAGAAGAGACCCAGGTGCACGGAATCCGCTTCCTGATCCTCCTACAGGGCACCACGTTGTCTCACCTGGGACAGCTCAGGCCGGGCTTCCTTCACCTGACCAAGGCTCTAGTACAGGTGAGTGCAGGTGAGTAGGCGATAGTACAAGTGAGTAGGTGACAGTACAGGTGAGTACAGGCTTCCTTCACCTGGCCAAGGCTCTAGTACAGGTGAGTAGGTGACAGTACAGGTGAGTACAGGCTTCCTTCACCTGGCTAAGGCTCTAGTACAGGTGAGTAGGTGACAGTACAGGTGAGTACAGGCTTCCTTCACCTGGCTAAGGCTCTAGTACAGGTGAGTAGGCGACAGCACAGGTGAATGGGTGACAGTACAGGTGAGTGGGTGACAGTACAGGTGAGTAGGTGACAGTACAGGTGAGTGGGTGACAGTACAGGTGAGTAGGCGACAGTACTGGTGAGTGCACGACAGTACTGGTGAGTGCACGACAGTACAGGTGAGTGGACGATAGTACAGGTGAATAGGCGACAGTACAGGTGAGTAGGCGACAGTACAAGTGAGTGGACGATAGTACAGGTGAGTACAGGCTTCTTTCACCTGGCCAATGCTCTAGTACAGTTGAGTACATGCTTCCTTCACCTGGCCAATGCTCTAGAGTAGGCGACAGTACATTCATTATATTGAAATAAATAACATTTTAAAAAATTTTAATAATAACGTAGTAACCATCAATTTTTTACATGTGTTCTAATCTTTAATTATCATACTTTGAAAAATTTCTTTGTTCTTTTTGGTTCTTTTCTTTTTTCTCATTCTTTAGAATCATCATACTTTGACAGGTTTCCTAGTTCTTTTTTAGTTGTTTTTTTCTCTTTTTTTAAATCATCATACTTTGACAAGTTTTCTGGTTCTTTGCGGTTCTTTTTTTTTTGTGTTTTTCTTTAGAATCATCATACTTTGATAAGTTTACTTGTTCTTTTTATTTCTTTTCTTTTTCTCTTTTTTTTAAATCATCATACTTTGATGCTCTTTTTAGTTCTTTTTTTTAAATCATCATACTTCGACAGGTTTTGTTGTTGTTGTTTTTTTAGTTCTTTTTTATCATCATACTTTGACAAGGTTTTCTTGATGTTCTTTTGAGTTCTTTTTCCCCTCCGACCCCCAGGATGTGGCCCCAGTAAGACTGAAACACTTGGACTTCTTCCATGAACCTCTGTTCTTTGGGGCTGCTTTCAAGCTCCTCAAGGGTATACTCAGGACAAAGCTGGTCAGACGGGTGTGTGTGTGTGTGTGTGTGTGTGTGT